AAAGCAGTGCGAAACCTACATAAATTTCCAATGGGCGTCGTATTCGGGCATACGTTGACTACCTGGATGCAAGCGTGAGTATGCGTTGTTGCGAATAGGCCAGTTGAAGTGAAGATGAGAATTTATTAGGGATCTAGTTCGCGATTATTGCCTGACAGCAGACCACATTGGCCAGGATGGCGGAACTGGTTATATTGACGACTATGTGAAACCGATGGTAGTTCATGAACGTGGTGAAAGGGACAAACGTAAGGCACCTGACCAGATCAACCATAAGAAACTTTACCGGGAACGACGGGAAGCAAAGGTAGTCGTAACTAGGGAGCCTCTCGAGCCCACCGCTTGGGGTCAATGGAGGCAGGTCCTGGGCCATTAAAGAGAACTGTGAGGAAATGCGAAAAGGTAGATAAGCAGAAGGACATCTTTATGAAACGCAACCTAACGACCGAAACACCTGGAACCATAGCATGTGATGACACCTGTATGCGCGGCCGGTATTTTGTTTCTTTGGATAAATTCAAAGAAATTGAAGTGAAGGAAGCTCGTTCGAGAAGTTGTTTGCGATAAATGGTGGACTGCGGACCGCGTGCTCTCGGATACTGAAATCGGTCAGTTTGACTGGTGTGTGACGCCAGAGGAGGTAGCTGAACGGCGTGTAAGGGGATGGTTTTTGGCACCTGACCAGGATAGCAATAAACTAGGCTGCCGAGAACGGCGGTGAATTAACGTAATCGTAGGCGAGGAACATCTCCGGTTTGTCAGCTCGCGTAACTGCACTCACACGCTGGGGTCAACCTCGGACATCTGAGGCGCAAGCGAGTGCTGAGATACGCCAGAGATATGCGGCCAGCCGGAGGTATAGAGCTCTTGAATCCACGCCTGTTACCTGCAGGCTTGGTTACCCAACAAACGTACGCAACCTGTACGCGTGGGCGTGCGGTTGCTTTTTTGTACGACTTGCAGAAATCAAATAGGAATAAAATCTGTATAGAAAGCGTTTGCGAAATGTGCTTGGCAGGGGACTTCTTGGGTGTGGAAGGTGTAGCAGGCAACGTAATGGCAAGGTAATGTGCGCAAATGGCCGATCGACAATGTGGTGAAAGGGAACGGCTAGGGGCACCTTGCCGGATTACCCACAATTAAAGTTATCGGGAACGGCGGTGAGTGTAAGTAATTGTTGCAATAGAAGGTATCTGATTGTGATGACTGCTTTAGTTAGTTCGCCGGCTGTGGTCAGCCGTGGCTGGTTTGAGTCGGTAAGGAAAGCTATGGGGAATCGGCTGTATGCAGTCAACCGACAGGACAAAGTTACTATACTCACGTTAAGTAACCTGCGGACATGTTAGCAATGCATGCTGAGGTTACTGATGCCCGCAGACGGCAGGAAATAATTGGTAGCGTTTGCGCGGATAATTTAGCTGATAAGGTAGGCTGGGATATTAGACCTGTTGCAGGTTGCGAAAATAGTGAAAAGAAAAGGGGGAACACCAAACCGTCTCAACCCCAAATAAAGAAACCGGAAACGGCGATGAATGAAAGAATTCGTATTTACGAAATCCGTGTAACTTGTTCTGAAGTGACCGAAGTGGGTTGCTGGCAAGCACGACTACCATGCCTGCAGGCATAGATCAGATCTCAGCAGGCAGTCAGATCTCAGCTGAAGCAGCTTGCAAGGCAAGCTAAAGGGGAGGCCGGTTGACTCGAAGAATCAGAACTCCGTGGTATGTGTGTAGGGACTCGGCAACGCAAAAATGAGACAATCTCCAAACTTCTTAAATAAGCAAATGACACAGTAAACTACTTAGAGTGGGACTTTATTCAATAATATAGACCTAATTTTGTCACACGACAAAAACGGGAAAATCGGCCTAACTCGGGTTACCGAGCAGAGGTAAGTAGGTTTTTTAGTATGAATAACCCCCCCCCTTCATAGCGGGCATCTCCTAAAAATACTAACCTTCTGCGGACATGCATGTATTGCTTGAACGGCATTTTTTCGTAAATTTCCTACGAAATTCCGACCGAAGTGGAATGTTTAGGAAACGTTTTAGCTTAGGTACCCAGAGGCGAATGCCAGCTTATCAAACTTCATTCGGTGTGCGTTACTTTACATCCTACGCTGGAATATTTGCCAAGAGTCACTAATGCGGGGAATTCCTAAACTTTTGCGCCAGTAGTTTCTTGCCACTCATAATTAGCCGCGTAAAAGGATTGTGTGTGCGCTGCCCACCGTCGTTGCCGTTTCCAGGGCATGACTTTGGAATATGATCACTCGGTATCGACTTTTCAAAACGAAATGGAGGCACCCGCTCGAAATCGTCAGAAAAAGATCGAACCTTTTAGCGGAAATATTAGCGGCGTGCCTGGCGTATGTTTTATGCTGTCGTTGTACTGAGCATACTTACAATTATATTTTTACATATATATCACGTATGGCATTGTCTAAAAAACATTGAAATGTTCATGTAGTCGAAGTTTTAATTCTGGACAAAATAGTTTAGAAATAAATATGTAGTTAATAGGGTACTGTGCGTCTTTGTCTGAATTTAGATGCTCCACAATTGTGGAGCCCTATTAGAACTTATTTGGCGATTGTTCTTTCTTTTATTTTCCCCTGGAACCCAAGTTGTACACAGAGGATAAAAATTTGCTGCATTCTTTTACAAAAGGCATCCTGGCTACATATAAGTCTAATACGTTTTTATACGTGTTGTAGGCCTAGCCACTACAGGAGTGAATAGCTATAGCTATTCACTCTGACCGACTGTCTACTCAAGTATTTCTAAAACTTTTGTACTTGACATTTAATATGCCTAATTGTGTCCAGTAAACGCACATGTATTGCTCTGCTTTACCCCTTATTCCGATCTTGAATTGAGATTCCCTTTTGATATCTGTGACTGGGTGTCATTGCCTTTACAAACTACCCAAGATAACCTATTATAAACACAAGAAAAAAATGATATACGTAGTAATATAAGGTCCTCCGTGCCGTAACTTGGGCTAGTAAATGTTATTGTAGAGTATATTATTGCAGTCTATCCTGTAGAGGTTGGGGCAATTAAAGGGATACCGTGAATCGCGGTGATTGACGATGAAGGTCGAAATCTAGACTTGATGTGAAAACAAGTTTATAACATGGCTTATTTATTGGGAGTACTTTTACCAGATCAGTTTGTAGTTCACTGCAAGTAATTTTATCTGAGGTATGTGCAGGAAACTACGTCATAATTATAAAAAAATGTTTTGGTAAAATTTGTGCCGTACGTTATACTGAACCTCGTATTTGTGAATCTGATGCTTCTTCTCTCGAAATCCGTCATTTGCAATGAGGCTATGTTCCGCTTTATCCCAGTAAGCATTTTTATGGCTGGCAGCGAAGTTATTGGTAAGGCTAGAGACACGAATTATTTCAGTGTATAGTTTTGGAAGTCATTGGTAATAGGGCCCGATATGATCGCCATTAGTCCGCAGTCAAAATGCTTCAAGTTTTACTCATTATCTCCTTTATGGTTGGTAACTAGGGTTTTGAGCGCCAGTCATTAATTCTTTGGCGTGATCCACTTATATTTATGCGTTTTACATTTCAACAACTGATTGGACTGATTTCAGCTCTCCGTAATGATTTTTCTGTGACACATCCACTAACTCCTGGAACTCCGAATTGTTCGTTTGCTCATTTATGTAGCCTTGCATAGTTTACAGCCTTTTAGTACCTTTTGATAGCAGCTTTTCAACCTACCATAACCACTGCAACGCATGGTGACACTGAAATTTCCAAAACAAATCCAACCCATTTAGGGTACTTTGCAGAATAGCCCATGCGTATTGGCCAAAAAGATGCTTTCCAAATTTTTCCACTGAGCATGCATCCACGATTCATTATTCTGCTATCGTTTTTTATTTAATTATAAGATATTTATCACGCTCACTGCACCTTTTGGTTCTTGGTAGGCCCAAGCTTCGCATAAGTAGGTAGTCTTAAGTGTTAATTTCACGGATAAGTCTCTGTCCAGTCATATTGCATAACTAATGCGTGGACATCCATCCATCACACTATAATCAACTCATCCTTTCTCTTCTGAATGCGTGTATTGGTTTGCCTCAGAATAAAGTCTTTTTAAGTTAAAAAAGCTTTGCGCCTAGGTCACTTACTCATTATATGCCTTAGGTTGGCGCTTTTTATTGGGTTTTCTAAGTGAATGATGGGAATATTAATATTCATCGTAGTCACCACCACCTAAGAAACATACGGTTGATCTTATGGTTTTATCTGTCTTATTTTGCAGTACACATTGTAAGTATGCTTCGCAAGTTTGTCATAGAAAACGTTCTCTCGCACTTATTCTCTTCCTCTTATATGATCCCATTGCTACCGGAGGTTCAGTCAATCATAAAAGTTGCTTCCTTCCTACCTCGGACTTCGATGTAATCGTTTTTTTTCTGACAACGCTCTTAGGTGGCAACATATATTGTATTATAGTCTTCTTGTTTTGCCTCCCTTTAGCTTTTCGCTGCTGCCCCACTTCTCCATGATTGGCAGTCGGGAAAGTCCTCTGTCAGCGAACGCGTCCGTAGTCTATTTCTTAACCCTACTCTGGCTGACGTTTACTTTCACATCAAGTCGAACGGTGCCTACGAAGAGCCATCTTCAGCCCGCAGACCTTCTGGCAACCAGTCCGATTCATCCTCTGACTCAATGACCAACTTCTTATCTTCTAATCAGAGGATACCTGCCCATTCTTTCGTGCTTGCAATCAGTTCGGCAGTGTTTGAAGCTATGTTTTTTGGCCCGTTGGCTTCAAACAATCGGCGAACACTGCCACCACGGATCTGTTGTGGCAACCAAATGAACACTGTGTCTTCATCTTTGTACCGACGGTTATCATCACCCGCAATAAATTCAGATACTGAACGAAATACGCCATGGACTACCTCCTTATCGCATATGACTTTCCCAACTCAGCCGATGGTGACGGAGAATATGATCAGCACACCACAGTCTTTCGGCTCTCCCCCGCCAAATGCAGACCCACTTAATGTTCCTTTTGAGGAAACACGACGGGCCATTAAACGTAGTTCAACAGCCTACACTCAGGTGGAGCCTTCGTACGGTCACAATCCATCCCTCGCATCTTCTCCCAACTACCCGTTTGGTAATGGCTCCGAAGAGCCCTTATTTTCTCTAATCAATGCTTTATTTGCTGTTGGGCAAATTAGCATGTAGGTCCTCATCGAGCGATCACTTTTATCTGAGTTTGTCATTTTTACGGCCGGTAGGGTCAGGTTATATCACTTATTTTATTCGTTTATTGAATCAGCTGTAAAGACTGTCTTTCTGATTTCAGAAATTGTTCTGTACGACGTACACCCCGTCGCATTCATAAATGTATTGCGATTTATTTACACCGACGAAATCACTCTGGATCCAAGCAATGTTCTTCAAACTCTTTACGTCGCTAAAAAGTACGCCGTTACAATGATGGAGCACGCGTGCGTAGACTTCCTCAGCCATGCAATCAGCGTTGACAATGCCTTCTTGCTACTGACTCAGGCCAATTTCTTTGATGAAAACGAACTTGCTCAAAAGTGTCTTGAAGTAAGATTAACCTCAGTATTAAGCAAGAATGATGTCATAAGAGTCATTTTTGGTTTGCCCCATTTCAGCACAGGGATCATGTTGTTTCCAAGAATGCTCGACCTTAGCGTTGAGGAAATTCTACTTCATGGCCTGAAAAGAAAACAGACGCTAGCTGATATTGAATAATTATTCTGCATCCATTTTAATCAGCTTTGCATGGCTGTGAACATATCAGGAGGATTTAAGGTTGACCGCTGCGAACGTTTTGTGTTTTGCAGTTACCGGTCAAATTGGCATATATATTTTAGTTCGAGATTAAAATCCATTAGAAGATCACTAGCCCGTATTGCAAATGATGACGTCTTCAACCGTATCTCAAAATTAATTGATAATCGATGAACTTTTGACCTAGCAATTGAACCGAATTTCCGTTACGACATTAAAGTCAATCAAGTTAATTTTGATAAGTAGTTCTTCACACTGGAACGATTGATTGGCACTATTTACTGTAAGGTGATGAGCTGACTGATAATTTTACAGTACTATTTCCGCACGACTCATTGCAGCAAACTATCGCGTAGCGTTTTGTTATAATCGAGTCATTGACGCTTATTCGGCCTGAAGGTAACCAACTCTAATAATGGTAGTAAATACTTCTTGCGTTTTGCGCGAATAAATTGATCCTGAAGGAATGATCAATTTTAATCCCTTTAGCGTCTCATACCAGCACCGCTCAGCCACATCCATTAGCACACTTCTAGCATTGCACCTAGTTTGTGAATTCTGTCGAATGGACTTGGAACTCTTATTCCTTTTCCTTTTCAATCTTAGATTCCAGTTTCCTAATACATCGCGTCAACAGAACGAGGGAACATAATCTCATCCTGCTATTAAGACTCAGACCCTCTTTCCTCCTTTCTCTTTTGACTACCTACGTAGTCGTCCTTGTAAACTGTTTCTCATACCCCCAGGAATATATTGTATTGGATATTCTTAGGGATGCTTGCGGTATCGCAAGTTTAGCTTTTCAGATCAACTTAACTGTATACTTCCAACCTTTGATGCACACCGATACAAAAAAATAATATTTTAACGGAAAGGGGTCAGGTCATCATTGATGACGTGGACAGACAAATACAGTTGTTTAAGAAATCCGGCAAACGCGTCCGAAATTTGAAAAAAAAAACATTAGTGAGTCAGCCCAATTACCTTAAACCACAGAAGACGTGGTTAGAGGTGATTCAAACGTTGTAATCAACATTCCGTTGATTATTGAATAAGAGCCAAAGGCGTTTGAGTAATATAAGCGCGGGAACAGACACATTGTGCAGGTGATGAAATGTTCTTCCAGAAAGCAATGACTCTACGACGATGGCGATGTACGATCTTCTTCGAGCACACGCTGAGAACTTTGCTGGGTCACCTTATAGCATGCTGGGGGGTATTCAGACGTGCACGCGCCTAATTCACACCAATGGCCGTCTGCTGCAAAAACGGAAGAAGCCATTCTAAAAAGTGGAATGGTAAAGAACGCCAGAAAAACTCCACAACAACAAAAATCCCTGAAGAGAGGCGCACGCCACCAGAGCTCACTTCATACTGGTCTTTTTAAAAAAGTTGGAACACACATTCAAGGTTCCGGTTTGCCTTTTAAGTCTCCTGGACTTCCACATCAGCAGTGACAGTACTGACATAAAATATGCGGTTCAAACCCCCGTAATGGAGATTCGAAGTTGGTCATGTCTTGCTGATAATTAGACGTCTATGCGTGCTTCTGTTTTGACGAATGCCATGAACATCAAAAGCGAGTTAAAACTCCTAGGTGTGTTCATCTTTACAACCTATCCATGCCTGCCCCTATGGACCATTCACAGTTTTTCACCACAATCCAGGAGGAGAATTTTACAATGGCGAGTTTTAATAACATATCAGTGTCGCTCTCTTGTCGCCAGGTTCCAGACCCGTAGATTACCATGCACCCCCGTTCATTTAGTTTCAAGCCTCCACACAAATGTCAGGCAAAGCCGCGTAACGATAGCCATATGACGGACTAACAATTATCATCCGACACATGTTAATATAAGTCCCGCTGACATTTTGGGTCATTATCCTCATTGGGAGGTGACGACAAAGTGCCCCTTTTTGTGTTTGTGTAGAAAACTCAGTTGACGGTTTAACGCTCTCCGTGTGTTATTTAAAAACTACCAGTGAACTTGCTTTCTAGTCGGTCAAATTTGCCTGTATTATCCCTATTGCTAATTTCTCGCTCCCCCCACCATCTTGTTTCACAGCGACTTCCAATACAAGGGATATTCCGTTAGATACCAGTGCAACTACTTGTGCTTATTTGACACGCATGCTGTACACATTACTTTTATTATCTGGCTGCTTAACAGACACCTTTCGAGACAGGACCAAACTCGAAACTACCGATTAAAATTACAAGCATTATTACGCTGTCCTCTAAAAAAATCTGATAGTTGCTGTGTCTCTAGTCCCTAGAAATATTTTTCAAAAGACCGAAGATACTTTCTTCCTTCTATCCCTTGTTGCTTTTTGAAGGTGATCGATAAAAACACCGCCAAAGCCTTGGACTCGGACGATTTCCTTGCTGTGGATAGTCAGCTACTCTGCAGTATCCTCGAACGCGATACTTTGTGCATCCGCGAGGTGCGACTTTTCCTCTCCGTGCTTAGGTGGGCTAAGGCACAGTACCACAAGCAGAAGCGGCTTCAAGATGGTTCCAATGGTGCTACACGACATCACAAACGCTCGTCACTCTCTTCTGGTACGCTTTTCCTATCTCCATCAGGCGATGAACCTGGCTCTTTGCTGTCCGCACCGCCTCCTCGTCCCTCCAGCACCCCTCTGGAGCCGGTTTCTACTAGCAACAGTAGCGGCAGTCGTGTGCAGTCTCCGGATGCTCATAATGTGGAAACAACGGAAGCTGAGCCGCCAGTGGAGGCCTTAAGGGAAATCCTGGCTCCCATCGTGCCCCTAATACGTTTTCCGCAGATGAGTGTTGAAGAATTTGCGGAGGTTGTGGTTCCCTCTAAAGTGCTGGAGGACTCTAAGGCAGTGGAGCTCTTCCTTTACTACGTGTCCAACACTAAGCCCGCGGTTCCCTACTCTACGAAGTCTCGGTGTTATCTGCGCGCTGCTGAGGAAATAGTTCGACGCTTTGGGGCAGTTGACCAGCGCTGGGACTACCGTGGCACCAGCGATCGTATCCGGTTAGTTGTTATTAATTTCTTCTCTACCTTCCTTCACAACCATCTCCTTCGATTTGGTGAATAGTTAGTGTTGTCTCTGAACGGATTATCCAATACTTTTGAAACTTTAATTGCGTTATGTCGGCGAAGAAAGGAACCTATGAGATCCTAAGTTTCAATTTCCTGTTTGGCTGTTTTCACCAGTCCCGTTTACAAACCCCTCCCCCCTAGGAGTCCGTAGCCTTACAAACCACCTCATATCTAACTTCATCACCGATAGTTGAAAATGATGTTCACGAGTCTGCCGTCATCAATCACCGGCATTTGAGATGCACGACGCCATAACGGATAAACACAAAATGTTCCACTGCTTTCTGTTCGCATACGTACAGCCGTTTTATTATAAGCCTGAGTAATCTGCCTAATCTACATTGTTGGTATAGTTTCATCAGAATCAGTTGGTGTTTACTTATTCCGCCCTCCGGACTATGATTTTAAGGGGGACAAATCAGTGTGTCCCAAAACTCTATATATGTATATATATATATATATATATATATATATATAT